GGAATTTGATTTTTTCTGGTCCAAATGGCCATAGTTGAAAATTACAGAGGGCGCCTCTTAAAAATGATCTGAAAAGAACCAGTTTAATTGCGAAGAAGTAGAATTTTTAAGCTTATTAAAAAAAATAAATTAATTAATTAACTCGACTTCTGCTTGTAATCGCCGTGGCTACCACTAAGATGGATTTTGTGGCTCTTAAAAAAAGAGATTGACGATGAAGGTAGCGGGCGCTAATATGCGAGATATTGCGTAGGTACTTTGAATAACGGGTTAACGAGGTGTCTTCTTGTGTGTGGTCCAGGTTTATGAAATATTTCATAAGAAGAACTGAAGAGTTTAATTAACCGGGAGATAAAGCGTTCTTCTCTTAATTACAACTAATAGCGAGGAATGAGCCAGAATTATCGCCTATAGCAGTCAAAACTTGAACAAAAACAGACGCTTTCAGAAACAGCGCACTCGATGGCCCTTAATCACCACACATACATAGGTTGCTCTTGGCTACTTAACTTTGATCTCGTCGAGGGAATGGATTAAAATTTCGTAGAAAATAACTTCCAACTGATTCCTTATAGGACTGCGTGTCTTCTCCATGCAAAAACCTAGCCCGCTGTACTGAAAGCTGCTCAGCGGACTCCAGCTTCTCGTGTGATTGCGTTCATGACGGCACTTATGGAGACCGCTGTGAATTCTGGACAGGTTTGTGGTCTTTCTTCTACTTTCTATACCCAGCTCGTTAAGATCTAGCAATTCCCTGAAAGGCATCTTCCCTTCACAAACCTGTCAAATTTCGTGAGCTTAGTTGTTCATTTTCAATCAAAAACAGTTTCAAAATGTCAGGAGCGAAACTGTTGCTTCCGCGACCAGCTAGATTTCGAGAAATGGGGAGGTTAAAAGAAACAAGTCATGTAGTGGGCACAGACCTTTATGGCTAAGATGTTGCTTTGTCCCTGTCAGGGCACGTTATTACAGTTCACAAAGTACCTCTCTCCAATGTGGAGAACAAATGAGTACCCGGCGATTGGTACCATTGCATGCCTTGGACATACGGTGCTAGATTACTGTGCCATACACGGGAACAGCAATGGTCGTGGTGGCTTCAGGCCACAGACTGATCGAAATTTACGAGTAGACCAATAGCGACAGGATTACTTGACAATCCAACCTTTGTAAAATTTGGGCGGGATCTAACTTTACTTTACCTTAGAGCGAATATGCAGAAAGAACTCTGCGACTTGTTAATAGACATGAAAAGATTTTGATATTGCACTGTAAAAGTGTCAAAGCATTCTAACCCCTAAAAAAGCTTGTATACCACTCAAAAAAGATCACCTGACAATTAACCTATTCATTATGATTGTGTACATAACAGCTGCTTTTCTTTTCTTGCCTGCAGCAAAGAAAACTGTATTCACACTGGACTTCAAATCGCGTTCTTCCCAAAACTTTGCTAATCACTCTTTCATTATCCAAATCATGAATAAGTTCAACGCTTGTGCCTGGTTCAAGACGAAAGAACAGGGAACTATTTTCCAATTTCTGACCACACACAATTCCACCAGACTCAATTTCCTCGTCTTGATCACCGCAGGAGGCAATTTGGGATATAACGTTGGCTCATTATAAGTAGGTCCAGAGTAGACTAAAAACTTTGGCAAAATTCATTCAAAAGGGTGTGTATTGTGGAATTTCTCTCTCTCTCCCTCCCCCCCCCCTCCCTCCGCCTCACTGTCGTGTCTCTAGCATGGTCATGGTTTAGCACCTTTGAAACTGTGTAGCGCTATCTAACATAAATTCAGTTTCACAATAACGTTTTTTCTGTAGGCAAGGTGAAGGTTGTTAAGGACGTGACATATAAATCCAGATGCTAGTTTTCCAGTGTGCTATCCAGGATAGTTTACGTTTGTTTATTATTACTTCTTTAGTGGTCTTCTGCCTTATTTAACTATACTTAATTGAAAGTCCCCCCCCCCCGGAACACCATATAAAAAGGACGGGGGAGCTCGTACGAAATCTTGAAAATAAGCCCCAAGAGGTACCAAGATTTTGTTTTGTGGGTGTAGCTTGAATTTTTTCACCCCTAAGAGGTGCCAATTCTACAACAACACATCTCTATTTGTTCGGCTCAATAGCTGGTTTTCACATGATGTCACTAAAATTCAAACTACAAAACTAGTGATGTTCCTGAGATTTTACTTTAATGATGTATAAGAGCAGCTTAAAACTAATATTCATACAAATTTTCGCTCCGAATGGGTTCTCGGTTTTGTGATACACTACGCTTGAATTTCTAAGCTTTTACGTGACGCGGCATTACATGACGGCCTAAAGAGCAGTCATGATGGTTAAGATAGTGATTTATTTCGGGAAATTTGGCTATCTGAACAATTCATGTCTTAGAGAAAGTATTATTTTAATGTTTTAGAGTTCCTCGAGGGATAAACTCACGCTTTTGTAGCAAAACTCAGTGACAGATGTTTCTGTTGGTTTCCAGTCGCCATGTTGGTGCCCATACGGATGGGCACCAGCATGGCGTCTCCACACAAATCTCTATAAATTTGGGTAAAATACTTTTCCGCATATCTTGCATAAGAAAAGTTGCTGTGACCAGAATCTTGGCGAGAGACTTTTCATATTTACCTTCTTTCATTTCCCAGATTCTGGACTTTATCTATTGAACGGTTTTGATTTTTAGTTTGATCTATTTTGAATGGCGTGACACTGAAAACCAGCGATACCCTACAAGGTATTGCAAAAGCTCCTACCCTGGACCTTTAGAAGCCGAAGACTCTGAGAAGTACCACAACCACCCTTGAAGGTACGACGATTATCGCCGTACTTTTTATATGGGAGTAAACCCCGAGAAATCCCCTTGTGCATTTTGTGGATGTGATTTCACCAATAATGTTTAGCGAGGTCAATAATGTTTAGCGAACATTTTTGACATACAGACCACAGAATGGCCTGAATTGCGAATCTTTATTGCTCAATGCTCAAACATCAGTACGAACTATATATTTCAACAACTAATCTACACAAACGCCTCTTAACAGATTTCATTAACAACCGTACCCAAATGACTTATTTGACAGATGAGCAATACCTCAAACAGAACGATTTATAAAACACTGATCGAAAAGTCTCTAGAACTATCCAATCGATGTTAACAAACTATACTCGAGTCGCGCAGCCAATACCCCTCACGGCTAAGCTGACCAATCAGTTTCAGGACTAGCCTTATAACACCATGGACTGACAAAACCTTTTCACTTAAATCTGACGATGAACGAACAACTTCGTTAGTTTTTTAGAAATGCAACAGATCTCTACGTGAGTGACGACCAGTGGCATCATGTTTGCCTATTGTGGGCCAGAAGCAATGGACAACCAATTTTTACTGCGACGGAGAACGCATTGTCAGAATCCCTAATATAAACAAAGGTCATTTCATTGAAGGAAGTAGTGACTTTATCCTTGGCCAATAACTGGATGAATCTACCAGACGTTTCACTGCAGGGCAAGAATTTGTCGGAAAAATCACTGAGGTAAATTTTTGGGACAGGAGTTTTGAGTCCGATGTCATCGAAACTATGTCACGTGATTGCCGTCCGGAGGGGAGCAAGTTATCTGGAATACATTCAGAAATAGTTACCATGGAGATGTTCAACTGATTGAAAACTCACCGGACTGCCTATTGCCAGGTAAATGTTTCTTTTTATCCTATGAACCCCTTCAGCTGATCCCCCTTTGGCTTACTGGTATGTCTTTGCTATTATTGTTTTTCAGTAAACCGGTTTTCGTCGAATTGAAGGCGATTTTACTTATCGCAAATGAGAACTTAATACTTTGTGTCAGAGATCCATGAAGATCGCGATCGAGCTGATTGTATCATGCTGTTGTGTCGTTGCAAGTCTCGCATTCATTCTTGCGGATATAGGGTGGTGTCCCGTTTCCCTCCCCTCCCCTGAAAGAAATAACCCACCTCCCTTCGTTGTCCCCTCTCCCTCTGTCTATAAGAAAGAAACAACCCACAATCCGTCACAACTGCGTATCCATCAGTAGCAACAACATTACGATCACCTACTAATCAGGCTTCTATTCCTTTTGCAGGCTTTACCGCTCTCTCTCGCCGTGATAGTAGATGCAACAAAAAATATTTCATCAAATCCTTATCATGCAGGGGCGCCGTGAAAGCTTTGTTTGATGGAAATAATCGAGCATCAGGCATATACCTGCGGAAGGCTTATGTAATATATGAATTATAACTCGCTTATTAATTATTTAGCTCTTATTAACTGAGCAGGAGGTCTGTATGGGAGAATTTTGACTGAGGTCGTGAGTACAGACCGAACGCAGTGAGGTCCGTACACACGACCGAAAGTTTACTCGTCTGCCAAAGTTTTCTCGTCTCTCTTTACTTTTTTTTCTCATCAGGCTTTTTGGTACTTTCATAAATGAATACTGTTAGATGAAAACAGTCAATGATTTTGCATTTTACTTTAAAACTTTTTCACTGCAAAACATTATCGGTCTAGATGCCGGTCTAGATGGGGAAATCTAGACCGCTTTCAATATCGATTTCAGCCAATCAAATTCGTGAATTTTGTAGTTCCCAGTCGTGGTAAAACGGAGCCATATAATACCTGTTCATAATTACCCAGTAGTATTGGACAGATATGTAATCATTTCTACTATCTGTGGCTGTTTCTTTTTGTGGTTTCGTTATTAGGAGTAAAAATCAATAAATACTTTCAATATACGTGGAGTGGCTCAATCGACAACCTACCCAATCGCAAAATATATTTTTTGCACAATTGTGTGGAATAGAGCTGTAGATATGGTGTTAGAGTGAATGGAAGCGTAACAAGACTAGCAAAAGAGGATCACCGAATGTGCTTGTGTCTAATGAGACAGTGATTATCAAGCTGCGCTAAAGTGGTGTACCACTCGTCCACATAAATTAATGTTATCTGACGTACGAATGGTTCAGACGGTGACTTTAACTACAAACTTCAACTTTCAACCTTCAAGATAACCTCAAAAACTGTTCCCAGTGGATGCGGTCAAATGTTGTTAAATAATAACTTTTTCTTCTTGAAACAAGTCACTGAGAGTAACAATAAAATATGCGATGATCACAAATGATAAACAGAGAGATTGGGATAAGGTTGCTGCTGCTGATTTCAGTAAACTTGCCGCTGGAAATTCAGCTAAACATGGATCGCTGAATTCTTCTGGGGAAGGGGTGGACGCATCATCTAAAAAAAAAACAAAATTAGCGTTTGCTTAATAAACAGAATTAGGATAATTTCAGAGCTGAGCAAAGAGTTTCCAGCAGTCTGATTGGTTGAGCGATTCCTTATATGACGCTATATTCACCACGCCAGGCGGTGAATATAACATTTTTGAGGCCTGGTTACTAAGCTGGTTACCTTTGCCATCTCGGCAAGTAAACATGGCGGACAGTTGCTGAATAAATGTTTCATTTATTCGAAAGACATCACTCCAAGCCCAGGATATTTGAAAGGATGGAAATTTCAAAATGACTACTGTCGCCCTTGGACCAAAAAGCCTTTCAAGAACGCATATTCAAGGAATTATAAAGAATCGTAAACGCAGTGGTTACGTTGACCGCCAGCAGGCCAGATCGACTGACCGAAATCTAAAGCTACTCATTTTTCAGAAGATGATTACAACTGTGAATGAAGTCAACAACGATAAAAAATATATATAAAGGTACCGGATGAGATTATTTTTCGTAGCGTTTTGCTTGTTTGTCTCACTGCCGAACTCGATGAGAAAATTGATTCTCAATCGATGTACATGTAAGCATATTATTAAAACTACGGCGGCATACGTGTATGCAATTGCATCTGTGTTTTTGTTTTAGTCCGTTAATCTGTAGTCCTCTTTGTTCAGCTCTGAAAATTGTCGTAAAACAATCACTAACCTCAGGCTCAGTGAAATTGGTGAATATTCACCAATGTTCACTTCACCATCGGCGAATAATTGTTCAATGTTAACGTCAGGGCGGAAAAAGGCCTACGTATAAGCGCCCTGTCTAGACCTTGCTAAATTGTAGCTGTTTCTAATGCTTAATCTCCAACAATCGTGAACGTGGAAAGATTCGAATTCCAAGGCTCTGCGTACAGTCAAGATGGCATTTTGTTGTTAGCCAAACTGTGCATAAAGCGAGGCCCACAAAACCGAAGAATTATCGCCAAGGGAATCCACAAGTACGGGCCAGAGGAAATTTCGCCGATGGTCAAGTTCAAAGAGCAAAAGGAAAATACGCGGAATGTTTAGATTCTAAACGTATTCGCTTACTTAGTAGAAATAAAAACCTTTCCTTTCTCCTTGAATGTTAACACTCAGACACAGTACACCACACAAATTGGCAAATAACTTTCAGTTGTGTACACGTTTTCAGTCGTTGTTGTTGCCGTTTACAGTTTTGTATTTATGCTGCGAATAAATATGAAAATGTTACCTTGCTGATCTACGCTTCCTTGACAGAAAGGATTGAAATCATCGAACACCAGAGCAAACTCAAGGGAAGACGTTCTACTCCCGTTAGAACAGCGTGTTGTAATAAGATCTCTGAGGCACCTCTTAGACTCGGTGAATTTGCTACAAGAAAATGGAAAGAAACTCAACATATTTAAACTTCTGTATGGTTCAATGACTTTTCCAAACACAAAGGTGGTTTACAAAGCAAATAACTGATTTAAATTGATTCAAATAAACAATTCACAATCAAGTAGAAAAACTACTTAGCTGTAGTTAGTTCTAAATGTTATACTTTCCTTTTGTAAAATATAACTGAGGTAGAAAAGGCTATAATTTTCCTAACTCCCGAATATAACTAAAATTTTGACATGTAAAATGCTCTTAAATTTTAATTTTGTTCAAATGAGAGTATCAGGAGTGACCATATTTTTTACCTTTTCTATTGAATAAACAGAAAGTACTGCTTGCAATTGAGTAGATTGAAATACCAGACACAGTTTGTCTTCAAATTACAAAGAATTGTAAATGAATGTTTATCCAGCGCAATGACGAATCAAAACACTCATAACTTAGATAAAAACCTGCAAAGACTTGGATCCGAGACATTGGCTTGAAACGTTTCATCGAACTCCTTCAAACATTTTACTTCTTCCTCGTGGAAACCTGGATCACACTCAAGATGTTCATGATCGTCCGAAGAAGAGACTTTTGGTGCCTCTAACAAGCCTTGGCAGTAGAAATCCTCAGGTTGTGTTTGATTGAGAGATTGTTCTACTTGTACTTCAATATCGGCGTCTGCGATGATGCCGTACTTCTCAAGACAGGAACGAAGCATGCAAACTATACAATCTTGCATGTTGACGTATTTCACGCTGTAAGGTAAAAAAAATGTAATTTGATGATAACAACAAAAACGAAGTGACTAAGGCAAGCGCGTCGAGTTGGCTGTTGTTAGCTACGGCCCTGGAAGGCATCTCTTGTGCTCGTTTTGAGTTATATAATCGGGTAAAGGACTATTTAGTACACCGGCCAAGATTCTTTGGGACTGCAATGGGAGAATAACGGAAAATGTTTTCTCTGAACAAAACTCATCCCGGTTGATCCGTAATGTCAGGACTTACCGACCAATTTTCTCCCACCAAAATGGCAGACGCAACCGGTTTTTAAGATATATTTTTTTACAAAATATTTACTTGTATTGAAAAAAGATAATTATGTCACTTTGTAGCATGTAAGTTGTAGGATTTGCAGTCACATACCTGCAGTTTCCTTGTGGATCCGCCTGCAAACTCCTTACAAAAAGAGTAATACATTGTCGGGTTCTGTTTAGTTGTGCGATCACGGAACACCGACCAATGGCATCAAGTACCTGCTCATTGGACTGGCCATCTGGGATAGAGTAACCATCTTCACTCGGCTCTCCTTGTTGTAATGAAAATTCAATGAAACGGAAACAGCATTTGTTAGTGAAATGGGCCGGACCCTTTTACTTCTATTTTCAGCATTCAATTTCGATATGGATTGTCAGAATACTACCTTATACTGATTCAGGTTTTCTTTCTTCACATAATCTTTATTTTAATTACGAAAATTAATTTTAACCATGTCCCTTATTGCATAGTATTAATGTTTCAGACGGCCTCATGATGTGAACTGTTTATTTTCTATTCGTACGTTGTTTGACAACTGACGTAGACCTCCTACCTTCTTCACCCAAGGAAACACTACAGAACGGATTGTAGTCATCAAATGCAGACTGCAAAATTTCTGCGGCATCTTCATCAAATTGGCAATGTACGTCTACTGCTTTTTTCAAGCATACCTTAGCGTCCGCAAATTCTCTGTCGAAATTGAAAAACAAAAAAAGGAAAATAAGAAAAGCATTTGGTTAATATAGAAATGTGTCAAATTAAACTTCTAACCGCGCGTGAAAGTGCCAGCGCCGGTAAAACATCATAACTACCTATAACGATAAATGATCAAGAGATGGATAATTCATATGTTGACTTGAGCAGAGTTTAGACCAAGTGCAGCCAGGGTTTGTGTGCACACATAATTAACGCCTATATTTCCAGCTTTTATCATTAGGAAGAATGTAATCGGGACATACTTGCAAAGTGTTTCATCTGCTCTGTTGCTCCTAAATTTTGTTTGAAATGTATCTCCACAATCTCGAGATTCATTGTAGAACGTTTCATTGCATGGGATCTCTTTCTTCTTTTCGTCCGTTAGAACTGGTGCGGAAAACAACCCATCATTACAGTAGAAGTCTTCAGATTTAAGTTGCTGGGCTGCCTCGTTTAAAAATGCCTCTATTTCATTTTCTGCCCCGTGATCCTTCACACACTCTCTGACAAAATCCTTCGTGCATTCAACCATCCTGCTATAAATAACTCTAAAAACGAACAGTAGAAATTCGATTATTCAATATCTATTAGAGTACAAGCACACACGAAGCATTAACTAGCAAGTATAATTCCAGAATTATTCCAACTTATTTTGCAGGTTGATATTTCCACGGTTAGCGAGCTTTGATGCCAATGAAACCTGAAGGAAGTATTATGTTCACATCCTCCTGGTCCACTCCTAAATATTTATGGTTAATACTTAGTTTTACGGGATTAGAGACGGACTATTAGAAAAGTGATAGGGGTGAGGAAAAAACAAAGAAAATCCTTCAAGGGAGGGTGACTGAAAAGAGAATCGTGCAAAGAAAAAGTGAAGAAAAAAAATTCCTGCAGAGTGAATTACATTGTTGGGCTTACAAACTGTACTCGCCCGAGGGGCGCATTGGCAGCAACTTTATATTGCAGTTTTAATTTTTTGGTCCTGGTGAGTCGCCATTCACCTGGTTTTCTCTACAATTAGGAAAACGGACATTTTTCCCTTTCAAGGCTGATCCAATTCGTGCGCAGCAACCTCATCATGGACACTGCTAGCCAAACATCGTTCCAGATGACCCTTACGGATAACCATGGCTTAAAAGTGATAACAAAAAAATAATAATAATAACGTGTGCTATAAACAGCCATCCTGCTGATTCGTTTGCAATTAACCGAGCACATACCGTGTTTTGAAAGCCTGGACATATAGGAGAGTTTTCACAACTAACATGTATAACGATTGTGGACACAGATGAGCACACCCTTGGCGATCCGTAACACTTTCCCTAAGATGGCCCCAAAGATCAACGTTGGTCAAACGTTGTAATCAACGACAATCATGGAGGTGCGTTTAGTATGGGCTGTTTCATTGTATTTTGGGTTTTTGACAAAGTAAACGACGCATTATCATTAAGTCCAATCGATACGTCAATTTTATCGGCTGAAAATCATGGAAATCGCACCAAATACGCTTCAATTTTGCAAAATGTCTCGCCCCATGTTTGTTACTGGACGGCCACTTACAGAATCCTAGCGAAAACCTTGATTCACTGCATGTCAAGGATGAATTTTATTACAAGGGAAATGAATAAATAAAATTGATTTTTCCCTGAACATCAAACAAAAAATGCAATGCAGCCCCATCGATCAGTTAGGCAATAGCACTTAAATGTGTCTGATACTTGCCGGATTATGTTTCCCCGGAGTAAGGTTGGTTTCCATATGACTGCTGGGATTGGTAAGATCGTTACCAACAACTTTCAGCGGACGCTGTGATCTTATGAAAACCACTGTCTGGTCGTGGCGATAGTAGCGATCATGTGAGAGCTATCAGTCGCAAAAATCGCTGAATTTGTACTTTGGCGATCACAGCAGTCGTATAGGGATTTAATGGAAACTAGCCAGCTTAAATATGAATAAAAATTAGCTATCGTGGCCTGAAACGATTCCTATTAACAGTGACAGTCTTGGAAATAAACTAGTATTTTATGATACGGAATCTCACAACAAGATATTGGACCAAACAGAGAACCAAGAGCATTATTTTTCAGCCTAACTCACTTGCAATCCACTGATGGATCTGTCTGCAGTTCTGTTATAAATGCCGTTGTACATTGTCGAGCCTTGTCTATGTAGACTGGAAATGTGCAACTTCCAACCATTTGCAAGCCACAACATCTTTCTGCCGTTAAGACTACAAGTAAATACAATTACAACAATAACTGATATTGCTCTAAAGGAACATGATAACAATTAGCAAACATGGAAACAGGCTACAAACCAAGCGACTTAAATCTTCAATTCGATGAGTTAATTTTTTTGTAGATTACATTGAAACACAATGTTTAGTAATTTTACAAGAGAAATAGCGAAAGCGGATACAATGGTCTCTATCGTCTTCGAGAAGGTTCTCTCACATTGATCCAAAAGACTGACTAGACTTTCTAACAAGATCGCAAAATTCTGCATTGCTTCAAGCTAATAAGGCTTAGCTCATAGCGATATAACAAGTACTTTGGTAGCAAGTACCTTAATGTTCTTTCCCTCCACGATTTATTTCTTCAGAGTTATCCTGACGGTAAATGTAAATTCAACCGAGTTCCATAAACACAATCTTTGTGATATCGACATTTCTCATGTGTAGCTAGTTGTCAATTTGCTCTTACCTCAGCGTTATGTTTACTTACCTATGAACACACAGATCAGTCCGCTGGCAAAAATCTTTAACATAATCACTGATGAGGGTACAAAGAGCGTAGGGGAACAGCCATAGTTTGTATCTCGTGTCTTCGATGTCGTGAGTTTTTATGCATAAACAACTCTCATGATTTTTGCATTTAGTTGAACGATTGTTCGGTGATCCGTTACATCTGTTTTATTGTCCGTGATCATCAACGATGTTGCCAGCACGTCATGCAATAACTTGCATATTCATCGCCGGTTTAGGTTTTTTTTTTATTTCCGTATCAAAGTTTCCCGCTCACAAAGGTTTGAGTTATATGAAAACCACTTTCTTAATAATGATTTATAAAGTATTCTGCATCCCCTTAGTATCTATCGTTGACGATCAAGAATTCCAATTTGCGTTTAGCTTGTTTTGACAAGTCTATTGGCGTCAAACACGCGGTCTCTAAGTAGCAGTCGCGTGATTACCATAGCGTAAAGAAGAGCTATTGTAGATTTCACGGTAACTGACGCAGGACTAATGTCTTCAAGGCTAATGTAGATAAATATTTCCTGTTGTGTGTTTGTCGCACCATAGTTTTTTATTCTTTGATTGTTTCTTGGTAGTTTTCCTTTTTTCTCGGGTGGTATACAGTGTGTTGATTTCTCTTGTTGCTCGTTAGCACAAAAGATTTCATTTGACTGTACCTATGCAAAATTTTCGCTAGGCTATGACAGTAAACCAATGTAAGGATATCTGTGAATAAGTACCACGATAATCCAAGATCCGTATTCGAGTAACTGCTACCGACTGCCACAAATCAGGAATTTTAAATAAATTACAGGACCGTGCCAATTATGACTCGGCACAAACGGGGTGCCAAAAGCTTTCAAGTAAAAATGCATGCAGAATTGTTCTATAGAATTAAGAAAATTGTACTTAAATGAGGTTTCAAAGAAATAAAACTGGAAATCAATCATGGGCTAAATTCAGTTTTTTTCCTCTTGGCTTTTTTTAAGAAGGGGAAAGATTACCAATAAAGACTCCAGTCAGTAAAAGGTGTTGACACTGACAATATGTCTCGGGCTCGGCTATTACACAGTATCTGACGTAAAACAGGTTGCTATGTACGCCTTATCTTGTAAGTGACAACAGAGTTTGTTTTATTTTTTTTAATCAGACTTTGACTTACAGATTTTTGACTTTGTATTGGATTTCTCAGCTGTAATACTCATACAGTGTTAATTTAATTTAAATCTCACATAACTTCTTTAAAGGTTAAAAGTTGTCTAATTGAATAAATTACTTTTATTTTTTGGAAATAATATTAGAGATGACGTAGCCAGTTATCGACAATCCAGAGTTCATTTTCCAACAGTCCATTCCAGAGTTTAATTCAGTCCCAGACTCCTTACCACATTCGTCAAGTTAACAACTCCAACCGCCATGCTCAGCATTCTCGAGAGTACCCGCATGTTCCTTCGAGCACCACTGGCTGTTGGCTGCCTGGGCTTAGACAAAATGTTTGTATCATTTTTGGGTTTCGTTGAAGCTTGAAATGCGATTGTGGTCTCATTTCCAGGATCGGTACAGAACGGGTTAAACCGGTTTTCTGCTGGCACTGGTACGGTTCCGTTACAGTATCGATCAAAAACAGACTGTGTACAGCTCCTCGAACGAGAAAAAGCCCTACCAATTGAGTAAAAAACGTCGTTTGAGAATGCTCTCAATATACCAATTGAAAGAAGGGTTAGGATTTTTACTGCTTAAAATCCCTTCCATGATGATATAGATTTTATCCGCGACCTTATCACAATGTTAGTCACCCTTAACATGCCCTGACATATATTTATTACACTTCTTTGCCCAATTTTGAGGGCACTTACTTGCACAAACTGGGATCATTTCTGTTAGCGTTGAAAATCTCTCGGAATCCTCTGGTACATTTGTGTCCCTCAGTGAAGAGTTTATCTGTGCATGGAATAAGCGCCCTTACTCTTGGATCCAAAGATGAAATGTTCATGGGTTTATTTGAGCAGTACCACTGAGATGCGCCCAAGTACCTCTGGATCAGCAGCGTTATCTTGGCAAGCCGCTCTATTTGTGCCTCGTTGTAGTGTCCCTCAAGGCATTGCCGGGTCTTTTTCAAGTAACAAGTTGACATTCTGTCATAGGAAGTGCTGTAAGGCAGGTGGTGTTGGTTGTTAATAAATACTAAATGGCTACTCAAAACGTTTTCTGTGAAATACTAGTGAGTATTTCCAACAAAGAAGTTCGAATATCTGATTATTTGGTACACCAAATAACATTGAATATTAATTTATTTTGGAGAGCAGGGTTGATACAGTGGTGAAAGCGCTCTCCTCCCACCTATGTGGCCTGGGATTTGCTTCCGGCCCGGTGTCAGATGTCGGTCGAGTTTGTTGTTGGTCCTCGTGTTGCTCCTAGGGTTTTTCTCCGGGTTCTCCGGTTTTCCTCCCTCTACAAAAACAACATTCCAGTTCGACCAGGATAGAGGACCCGCCTGAAAACCAGCTAGGACTGATGTGGCTTCCCCTCTTAATATTAAAGTGTATTATTTATATTTCTCATTATTAATGAAATTTGCGTAAGCATGCTATACAGCAGAAATCTTGCGAAACCATAACGTCAAAAAGAATGTTATGCACAACTGCTTGATGGATTTCACTGAAGAAATCCGAAAATTGT